CGGGGACAGGGCCCCCCGCTGCCATTCTGGGCCGCGCCAGCAGCCCTGGGGAGCACCAGCTCTGCCCCACACTCGCACCGGGCGTCACGTCCAGCCCGAGTCCTCATCCGCTCCTCCCCTGCCTGCCTGGCTCTGCCCAGCCAGGATTTCCCCGCTCCTGCCCGTTCAGAAGACGGCCAGGCAGCCGCCTTCTCTATAAAACCCCGTCGCCAGTTAATTTCTTTGGAAATGCAGCGGTCCCTCTGAACATCCCCTCCTGCATCAGGACGAGACCCCTCCGAAGGACCCTGTCCTGTCCAAGCTCAGGGTGAAGCACCTCCCCTCGAGATCAGAGCACCTCAGGGCTTGTCTGCGCAGAAGCCAGGAACTCGGGGGCACCAGAGACCACACTGAGAACCAGTCCCATTTGGTGTACACCAGCCCAACACCACAACGCAGATCCTCGCTGACGCCCCAGCGCGGGGCTACCCGGAGGGAGGGCGAAGGGGCACCAGCAAAGACTGCTTGCAGCAGGCTGGCCCCCAGCTCCCGAGAGCTGCTGCAGGCACAAGCAGCATGGGAGGGAGCAGCCAAGGAGCTTTTATTCCTGTGGAAATGGAGAGCCAAAATGACGTTTGAAGCAAGCCTGAATCCAGCGCAGCACACGCAGGAAAAGCTGTGAAGCAGCTTGTAATGAGTGAGAACCAGGAACTCTGCATCCTGGGGAGTGCTACCACGTCCAGAGCCAACTCCAAGAGCTGTTCCTGTGCTCTTGGCACGGCAGGAAGGTCATGGCTACCTTGGCTCTGCCATCTTTCTCCCTGTGGAGCCCCATTCAAAGGTTTTCCAGCTCCTGCCTTCACCGGGATCCTGCACCAGGCCTGCCTTCCCCCCATACAATGTGTTTTGAACAGGCAAAGGCCTGGGAAGTGCCAGGGGTTGTCAAGCTGGAGCATGGATGGCTCTGTATGTCCCCACCTCTACCAGAATCGCTTTCAATGGCAAGAGCTGGTTTCAGCTGCCATGTCTGTGTGGACAGCCCCAGCAGACCTTGTTTTCCCACCCTCCCACTCCAGTCCCGCAAAGAGCAACTTTTTTCCCCAAAGTTGTAACTGTCCTTCAAGTTTTCCTTATTTAGTATGTTGGTTTCTTAGCCTCTCACGGGTACCTAGCATGAAACAGGACTCCCCAGAGACAGGCCACTTCCGCAGGTCTCTCCCTCTGAAGATTGCCTCCGCACCCGCGGTATTTCCTTCAACATTCCGGTCCAGTCTCAATTCCCGCAATCATCACCCCTGTCTTTGAGCAGTCCTGCGCTGGAGAGCATTTATCCATTGATGATCTTCTCGCTGATGTAGCCAGGCATGGTGTAGATCAAAAGAACCAGGAAGACTGTCAGAACAGCGACAATGAACAGCACGATGATGTATTTCTTGTACCGCTTCCAGATAAAGAACACAAAGGTCTTCATGGGATTCACAAACCAGTTGAAAGAAGTTTTTGGCCGGCTGGAGCAGGAAGGGAAGAACAGATAAGCACAGGCTCAAGCCACAGAGCAGCACGCTGGCCGCTCTGCTTTGGAGCCCTGCCACTCTCACGGGTCGCCAGCTCTTCCTGCTGCTTCCAGAGAGGATCACCCCAGGGACTGCAATAACTACAGCGCCCGTGAAAGTGCTGGAGACAACAGGACCCGAGCCCCAGGACCACCCCAGGACCGCCCCCACAGAGCTGCTCTGCTCCCCTGTGACTAACGGGCACCTTCACATGGCTAAACCAGAGCTGCCCTTTCTGTACAAGTAATGTCATGGCATAGCTCCCTCTAGTACCTCCCTGAGATCAGCCCTGGCCCGGATGCCGTGGCCACAAGTCCTGTGGGACCCACCAGAGCCCTGGGAAGCCCCGCAGCCCCAGTCCTGCAGACCCCACCACCTACGGCCTCATGGATCGCGCTTGGCTTCCTGACAAGGAAATGCTCCCGCAGCTGCTGAAAACACGGCACTGCCCATCTCTGTGAAAGGTGACAACACAGATACTCACTTCGGCTTTTCCAGGGGTTCAGGCTCTTTTCGGCCCAAACCAGCAGGACTTTTCTCAGCTTCCTCCACAGTCAGCAGCTGGAACTCTGCTTCCACCTTACCCTGGAGAGGGAACAGATCTGAGCCACAGCCGCACGCGTTGCTCCGCAGACCAGCCTGCTGACCACCCGCCCGGCCAGGACCGATATTTTTCTCCCGGTTCCGCTCAGAGATGCTCAGAGCAATCGCCTTTTCTCTCCAGGCGTTAGCTACAGAGCCTCTCGCTTCGCAGCCAGTGGAAACCGTGGCCTGGGCAGAAGCTAACCGTTTGGCAGACAAGGCACTGTATCGTAACGCACGCCCCAGCTGTCTTGATTTGTCTGCAGCCTCCCACACTGGCACTGCGCAAAACTCGCTCTTGGGGACAAGCGGTGGTGCACTAGCAGGGCCCCCGGCAGCACGTCTGCCCTGGGACAGCTGGCGCCCGCCCGTCGCGGGTAGGCAGAGACCCTAGGACAAGCTTTTGCTGCTGTCCTGTCGGGTTGATGGGGAGCCACACGCCTTTTGCTGTGCTCCCCTCGCTGAGCACTGCTCTGCGCAAGACCCAGAGGAAGACATGAAGCTGGACACCCCCTGCAAAGCCACCGCAGCTGACACTTCTGGGCAGACGAAGTGCCAGATTTGCAGCAGATGGGACAAGTCTTCAGGACCCTGCACAAAGTCCCGAGCAGCTGGGCCGTTGCTGCCTCTGTAGGTTACGTCCGTGTGGGACAGGCTGCTGCGGGTAGGCAGAGGCAAAACACTGGCTCTCTGCTCACCCGTGCCTGCACCCTGCCTTACCGTCAGGAGGTACGTGTTCCCGCTGGGGTCTGTGAACTCCACGTCCTCTGGTTTGACTGAGCTGCTCCATTTCTTTTTCTTCTTCTTCTGTTTGTCCTCCCTCTTCTCTCTCTCCTCGTCTTCTTGATCTTTGAGTTTGATGAAAGGCCACCAGCCCCTCATGCGCTTGCTTCGGAAGATGGAGAAGCGAGGTGTTGCATTCTCCTTCGCCATCTTGATGGTGCAATGCTCTGAGCTCTTGGCCGCCCGCACCATGTCATGCAGCTTCAGCTCGATGGAGCCTGGAGGCACAGGGAAGGGGAGAGCTCATGGTGAAACCCTGAGGTCAGCCTCACGCACCGTTTGGCTTTCTGTCTCAGCTACGCTCCCAGCACCACGAGTAGGTCCCAGCTGCTGCAATGATCTAGCAGAGTCCTGCATGTTTGCAGGTGGAGAACCTGAAGCTCAGCATAAGACAGCACCAGCCCTAGAGTCAGAGACTAAGAAGCAGAAGCCACAGGTCTTGTCTCGTCTCTGATGTGGCCAGTTTGGTCTGCGTGTGGTACAGCGGGTTATTTTCACTCCTTTACTGTGTCTCACCCTGCTCTCCTCATGTGTTTAAGCTCCTCTTCCCCTCTCATTCCTGCAAATGTCAATGAAAAATTATAAAATCTGGAAAACTCTTTAAAGGTTTGAAGTCTGTTTTACATCTGAAACAGCCTCAGTTCATTTCCCTGCTTGGCCTTGCGCATCTGTCCTCCTTGGAAGGAGCTTCTGGCCCACTTTGGCACTGAGCCCTTGCAACAAATCAGTCCTAGCACGTACCGGTCTGTATTGGCAAAAGCACACCCAGCAACCAAAGGATGTGGGTGGCCTCCTCTGCTCAGCTCTGGTGAGACTGCATCTGGATACTGTGTCCAGTTTTGGGCCCCCAAAACAAGAAAGGTGTCAACTAACTAGAGAGAGTCCAGCAGCTGAGATGGTCAAGGCTAGAGTATGTGCCATAGCAGGACGGGTTGAGAGACCCATGCGTGTTCAGCTGTCCTGCAGCCGGGACCAATATTGCCACCAGCACATTGTTGAAGAGAGGAGCACCGGTGCACCAGAGAAGAGAGGTCAAGGGAGAGATCCTACTGCATCTCCCATGGCCTAAAGGAAGCTATGGAGCAGATGGAGCTAGGCTCCTCATAGAAGTGGACCATGAAAGTATGCAAGGCAATGGACACAAGCTGCTGCAAATAAAAAAATTTGAGAATTATGAGAATGGTGCAGCCAGGAAAAGGAGCCCAGAAGGGTGCTGGGAGCTCCAACCTTGGAAATACTCAAAACTCACGCAGACAAGGCCTGCTTGGAGCAGGAGGTTGCAGTACAGACTGCAGAAGCCCCTTCCTGCCTAGAAGTTCCTGAGATTGTACATGCCAGCAATGGCTGGGATTGCTGTCTAACACTTTCTTCAGTGCCTGAGTAGCATGGCTGAACCAGTCACCACAGCAGTGCCTCATGGAGGTAAAGCCCTTTAAATCCACCATGGAAGGCTGATGAATAAAGAGAGGTTTATCCTGCCCAAGAGGCAGCAGGGCAAAGCGGCTGCTCTTTCATGGGGAGGTCAAAGTTTGAAGAAGGGAGGGACAACTGAACAGGGTGCTACAAACTTGGGGATGGCAGTAGAAGCAAGAGACCATAGGTCTGGTTGCTGGGAAGCACCAGAGCAGCCGGGAAGCTCTGAGCCCCCAGGGATGGGATGCCGCAGATCACATCCAAATGGTCTCACAAAGGTTGCCAGTCCCTGCGCCCACAACATAAGCTCCTGGGAAAGCTGCTCTCTGGCCAAGTCTTTGGGACCTGCAGACCTGAGTAGGAGCAGGCAAAATGAGCAAATTTATCAGAAAGGTTGTGAGGAAGCAGACCCTGGAAGTTCTGTGGTGTGACAGGCCCTGAAAAAAGAACACCAAGGACTTGGGACAAGCACGCAAGCTCAACACGTCTGTGTAGGGGAGGTGCATATCTCCAGGTTCTGCCTACAGCTCACATGTGAAAAACCAGCCCAGGTGACTGCTGAGCGGAAGAGCCTGATCTGATGCCTCTGGTGTCACTTTTCGGAGAGCTGGGCCCCAGGGGAAACACTGTAATACTCCAGCAAGGCGAGGGACAGGTCATCCGACTTCCAGCAGGTCACATCATACCTAGAAAGTCATTAGCTGAAATCCTGTCATAATCCCAGACCTGGAGGACTAGGACAGCCGGTTCCCGAAACTCTGATTCCTCCACAGAGAAGACAGAGTCCTTCTTCTTGTAGGTGATCTCCTTCTCGGTCGGGAGATAGTTGAAGCGGAAGATGAGCCTCCAGTTGAAATTGCCCTCTCCGGTCAAGGAGTTAAAGTGAACATCCGTCTCCTGCTTGTCATGGTCAAGACCCTTTATCCAGCTGCAGGAGAAACTCAGTTATCTCCTACCCACTGTCAGCCAGCCCCAAAGGCAGAGCAGAAGGATGGAGGGGCTGAACCCCATCCCATGGGGTAGCAGGAAAGGAAGAGAGTCAGAGACCCAAACCGCACCACCACCTGATCAACATCTCTGGGGATACAGCAGTCCAGGCAGGGGACCGGAGTGGGGCACCTTGTGCTGAGGCAGCGAGGAGCAGAGGTTCGGAGGAGGCAGTGAGGGTGTGGGGCAGGGCAGGGAGCAGGACAGCAAGGCTCTGGCCTCCCTCCAGCTCCCACCAGACCTTTTCACGTAGATGTCGCTGGAAGGCTCTCCCGTTACTGGGTTGACATCATCAAGGATCACGTCCTCCGTGTTCCAGACAATCACACGCAGCTCGTAGCTGTGGGAAGGACACAGGGGTGAGAGAGACACACGCTCTCGCCCCCAGTGCCTGGGAGGACAGGTGGAGCCCACATCAGCAGAGCAGCAGGACTGGAACCCTCGTCGCACTGTGGTCCCCTGCTAGGGTTCCTCTGGCCAAGCACAACCCAGCAGTCTCGCTCCTACACACAAAGCTGTTTCTGGGGGGCTACAACCCCACAAGACAAACACCCACAGTCAAAACAGGCAGCTTCTGCAAAGCAAATCCCTGGTGTGTGGGAAACCCACCCAGCACCACTGGGCTGCAGAAGCACAGGAAGGCTTAGGCAGGAAGGGACCTCTGCAGTCCCTGCTCCAGCCTCTAACTTCATAGTAGATCAGATTGCTCAGGGCCTTGTTTGCATAAGTTTTGAATATCTCCAAGGCTGGATATCCCAGCAGCTTTCTGGGTCACTCCGTCCCTACCCCAAGGTAGCTGCACTCTCACTGGGAAAATGTTTTACTTTATCCAGTTGGAGCTTCCCTTCCTGCAGTTTGTGTCCATCATCTCTTGTCCTTTCACGTGCACCTCTGGGAAGAATCTGGACTATCCATCTCCATAGACTCATTAGAGCATAGAAAA